TTTTTTTTTGTTTTGTTTTTTAACAGGAGTAGAAGGTTATCTGTTCTTTCTATTTTAGGGTTGGGTTTCCGGTTTCTGATAAAATCTACTTCAACGCTATACTGAAATTTTATTTAATAATTATTTATTTTTCGTCCTCAATAAGAATAAATGGATTCGCCTATCTTCCGGCTAACACATCTCCGGTCATTTGAACAGGAGTAGAGGTTTACATTAACCGTTTCTTTATAAGGAAGCATTTAAAATTCATTGACCGAGCAGCCATCATTGCTGTAGTGTGGATTGTCAACATCTTGATTATTCCATTTTCTCAGAGTTGCAAGTGTTATCGATTTTTCATACTTGCTGCTGTTAATGTGGCTTCAGTTATTTGGTGCAGTTCTTTGTGATTGTATAGCGCCAATCTACAAGATACGAAGTGTGTTGTTCGCCAAGGCTTCACTCGCTCAATGCCAATTTTGGAAACTGATTTGAGAAAGCGGTTAAAATACCCAAATAACTAGAATTGTTGTTTAAAGTTTCTGATTGAAAGAAATTGGTTTAGAGATTGGCAGTCTTTTGAATTATACGTGAAAATTTTAAATATTTTGATTCCTATTTTTCTTAAAATTTTGTTTACATTGTCGAGAACTGTCAAAATTTTGTTTTTGCCGGACATTTCAGAAGTCATCCAGTTAGATAGCCAGCATATGAAATTGATGCGTAAAAATACACCAGTTCATATATTCTTTTATGATCATTTTATTCGAGTGATTTATTCTGAACTATTTTAATTCCTTCTAACACGACAAAACTGTATTTTTTATGATTACAAGAGCTCTTAGATTATATATATTAGCAAGCCATCTCTTCACAAATGTAGAAGAGACTTGAGCCAGGAGAAAAGTGATTCTACAGAAGGATTGCAATTATTTACATTGTCCGGACTGTTATCTTCATCTTTATCACCATATTCACGACCTTTTAGCCGTTGTACACTCTGGCCTTCTTCAGGTGATTAGAATTTCGAACTGAACCCTTTATTGAACTGAAACCACATTCGAAAATTCTAGTTCCACGTGTCATGCCTCTTACGGACATCTCAAGGACACATGGCTCAGTGGATAAAAAGCGTTGGTTGGATCTAGTGACTTGACTCAGAGTTGTGTTCAATACCTGTCTAATACCTGGCTAACTTGGAGAGTCGAATTAAAGAGAGATAACCGAGAAACATTTTATATTCCAGGCCATAAATTACCTTAGAGGGTTCCGAAATTAGTGCACTTTCAATACATTTTCACCGTAATAACACTTTTAATCGAAACTTCATTCTTTAAGTCCAAATTGTAATCAGACCAGTTACAACGAATGTATGAAGTGCATTGCTTTTAGAAGCGATCATTTTAACTCTTATAATTATTTGATTATATTCTGAGATCTCTCACATACGCATGTCTTGGAATATATTTTTTTAGTCTATTTCGAAAATTTCTAATTCAGGTTTGATGTTACTTTTTATGTTGATTAAATCAGATATTGTTTTTCAAATAGTTGTATCAAAATTTAAAAAGTTAAAAAATAACGAGTTGGTAAGTACTGGTATCTCTCTTATATATATATATATATATATATATATATATATTTATTGAGAGAGAGAGTGGGGGGTGTATAGTACGTAAACGCGCATAATAGAATCGGTGACAAGAGTTCAATTGCTGATGGAGGTCTGTTTTGCTAAGTCCGCAATATTCCCGTGGAATGGCATCTTCCTCGGGCTATAAATTAAATGGTAGGGCAAGCTGGGTTCTCTTACCTTCAGTGGTAGAGAGCTTTGAACAAGTAAAACCCTGAATTTAAAACGCGCGCCCCCACTAGCGTACCTTGCGTGCATCTTCGGTTGAAAAACGTGGCAACTCCTGCAGCTGCACTGAAACCAAAATATTGCTTTATCCCTTCCTCGGGACTCCACTGGAAACACTCAAAGTTCTTTTTTTTTGTTGTTTTTTTTTTTATGGAGTTGGAGTTTGGGGAGGATTCTTGACGTATAGGCAGCCCAAGATTTCCCTCGCGCAAGTCCGTGATGCTCCGATGTACACCATCATCCTCAGAGACGCGGGGCACATATTTAACAACGTACGCGCATATACATATTGCTCTTTGCATAAATGTTATTTTGTGGGCAAGGTTTTATTTAAATGGTTCTTTTCGTTGGCTGAGCATTGCTTCTCCCAAGAGCATGTTTTTTAAAACCATGTTATCCCATAGAAGGCAATAAAACTGCTAAAACACAAGGGATTACTGAGAGTGAAATAAATAGAAAAAAAAACCACTAAGGAGATAATACAAAGAATAGGTTTCGAAGAGTGAAAAGTTCATAATTGATGTTGCATTGGAAAGCAAGAAGCCGGAATAGAATTTAGCATGCGAGAACTGCGAAAGAGGAAACTTTTATCATAGGACATACGGTTACATTACATAGTAATTACAGTAAAATGATGCGACCAAACTACCAATCTAGTACTGCGCTTAAATATATGAATTCGAGGGAACAAAGAGACAAGCCTATTCGAACAACTACTACGAAAGTATCAGTAGAAAAGGCGCAACAAAATGGACGCTATAGCGATGAGAAAGTGAATACAACAGAGATGCCAGATCAGGGTCGATATCACTGCAGATTCTTTGAATTTTGTTAAAAATCGTTTGCATTTGTACACAAATTATACTATAATTAGCTACAGATAAAGAGAACCGTAACTTCAGTCAGTCGGTTATGTGTCATGCGTGATACACGCTTAGGCAATCATGTATCTTTCGATGCATGACTAACTTTTTCCCGCAGTAGGTTGCCATTTCTTTCTGCGGAAACCACTTGCCATCCAACCCAGTCTGTCCTGCTGTTTACACATAACTGGCGTGGGTGGGGGTTTTAGAAGAGGATTCATACCTTTCCCAAGGGTATGAGCACGTATGTAATGGATTCGACTGAAATTCGAACTCGGCTCACCGATTCCTCAATCCGAGCCGCGATGCATTACCTCACCGTGCCTCCTTTTACCATAACTTCAGCCTTCTATAATGTAGCACTCAATATCCAAATTCAACCTGAAACGAAGAATAAATCCCCGGCAGTTTATACACACTGATGCTCAGCCGAACTGAAACGGAAGGAGATGACAGCTCAGAGAGAGTCTTCAACTTTACAACAGTTTTAATTGTGTTTTCGCTTTGTTCGATATTTCCAAACTTTGTTCATCTGTGTTTTCCCTTTCAGCCGCTAGCAAGAAAATATGTTGAACAGCACTCAATTCTAAATAAAGTATCCGATTGGCACTCGCTCAAACAACCTATGGTTTTGGCATCTGGAAATACGCCTTGTACAGTACAAGCTTATTTTGACATTTTATACCTCAGCAGAACACAGGTCCTCCAGCAGGGGTACACATGACGCTGATCCGGATAATGAAATTTCACTGCAGGAACGACATTTAATACCAACTGTGGCACCCATCTACTTGGCCAGGTGTTCAGCCATAGCGGCTTTTATGGACGTTGCAGTGATCAGATCGCCGGAAAGTACAGTTACCGGGGAAACATTGCAAAGCTTACATCAAGAAATTACGTCTGAATTCAATGAACTTCCTTCTGAATTTATAGACCAGAAAACTTTAAGCTAAACATAAAAATAAAGTACTTTCAGGAGTAAATTAACTTTAGTTTCATCGACTTCTTGGTCAAAATTATGCAGCTGTTACGACGATAGATTGTAGCTAAATATATGGAAGAAATTACTTGCTACGATGTGACGAAAAGAATTAAGAAAAAGCTCCTGAAATGAACCGACAGGATAAAAAAAAGACAAAAAAAAAAAAACAAAACAAACAAACAAAAAAAAAAAAAAAAAAAAAAAACAAAACAAAAAAAAAAAAAAAAAAACAAACAAACCCCCCAAAAAAAAAAAAAAACATCAGGATTCGGAGTTTAAACGGACATTAGTTGTTTATATTGGTATCTTTTGGTAATAATAGGGTGATAAATGTTTGTGTGACTATTGGTCAATTTTACTTTGTACGGGGTATCATTCATTTTGTAGGTTATTTGAAACCGAAATATTTAAAGCAGATTTGCAAATGCGTATATTATTAATATTATAAGAGTTTATATTAAAAAAAAAACATTTTGAAATCGTTACACACAAGCTTTCATCTTTCAATACTATGATTTGTACTTCTTCAGGCATGGTAACTAACTGGTAATTAAATGATTCTTAAGGAAATTTAAAAACAAAGTGTTACCTCGTTTCCGAAAGTTGGCCAACATAAAAACACACCTGTAGGTATGTCCCAATTAGCCAATTAAATGTCAGATCTACGCAAAATAGAAAAGCAATCTCAGAGGGTGGAGGTGGGTGAGCTATGTTTTCATGTCACGATAAACTGGAACATAGACATGCCATCATTGACCATTGCGGAATTTATATATATATATATATATATATATATATAATGTCCACACAGGGTGTAACAGCAAAATTGCCCATTCGTTATTTTAAGCACTGAACCGTTCTAACCTAGAAATGATTAAAGATATCTTACTGGAATTCTTACTGAAGTTTTCCTTTCTACTGTTCCCTTTTTTTTTAAACTTATTCACCGTTGTCTTGATGGTTATTGAATGGAATTTGAAGATGGAAGCCAAAGTATGAATTTTGGTACAATAACTGAAGGCCTGAATGATCTTTTTCCTCTCACCATTGCTCATTTGGGGAGACAGTGAGGCTGACACAAAACGATTTTAACCTATTCTCTTTCTAGCCAAATATATATTTTGTGATTGAATATTGTATTATCAGTCATATTAACGATAATGATTTCTAGATACAAGTCTATTTATGCCATAAATGAGAAAGAGAAGAGGTGAATGTATATATTTCCTAAAAAGTATGCGCGCATGTGAATGTAACTCGACTCACCACCTTCGCATTCCTTGCCATTATTCATTACACCAGCCCCAAATCCAAGCTTACAGTACTCTGTCTTCCGAAGCGGTCACCCATCTAGATACTGACGACGCTCGACGTTGCTTAACTTCGGTGATCGAATGAGACCCTGTGTTAGAACTTTGTAGCCTGAAGGCTTGTGTGAGTCTATTAAAATCTTTCAGGAGGAGTAACTATTAAAATGTTCTGAGGTTATCCTTTTTCTTTTCTTTTGGTTACTTGGCTGTCAGTCCTGAAAATGTCAGTGAGGGTTAGCTGTGTAATCGTTTAAGTGGTTATTGTTCGGGAACTGATCGTTTTAGGCCCCCTTGCGTACACGCCTGCAGTTTTTTAGTTAGTTATTTTTTCCCACTATATATATATATATATATATATATATATATATATATATATATATATATATATATGGTAGTACTCGTTTCGAGAACCCTCGGATAGCTCAACTTACAGTAGAACAAATCGGTACTCCAGGAAAATATGAAAAAAAGAAAGAACCAAGAACATTAAAACAAAGCGAAAACAATCCTGGTGTTTAAGATAAAGTCCAAAGAAAAACAAAACTAGTAAAAAGACAACGACGTAAAGTGCTAAATAGGCTAAGTAGAGCGATAAACTAGAATAATCCTAAAGGAGCCAGGCAAACCTACCTAGGTTTCACCTAAACAGATCTTCAGGGTAAAGCCGGCTAGCTATATATATATATATATATATATAAATAATGTGTGTGTGTGTGTGTGTGTGTGTGTGTCTATCTTACTTACATTGAAAATCCTCTTCATTGGCTTAATGCAGCTTAAATCCGAATCAAATTCAGGTTTGCAACGCTTTAGCGATTTGAAGAAACCCTTTTGATACTATCGCGTAAATAATGGAAATCGAGACTTTTAAACAGAACCAACATTTTTCTCGTTCTGTTTGATCTCATTTTTAAGGCCTATCAGCCCATTGCAGGTTATTAAATTCAGAAAATAATTTACATTGAAAAACATTTTGGAGATAATTATTTACCGATATATGTTCTAAGTAACCCTTAAATGGGTGAGAAACGGTGGGTTCATATCTTTTTCGGGTATGTTTGCGACTAAGTGAAAATAACGAATCCGATTGAAATTAGATCGCGACTCCCGAGTCGTTATCCATTTCAGCGTTCACACATCCAAGCTTACAGCACCTGGTATTCATTTGCGGTCACCCATCTAGGTACTGACCAAGCTGGAAGTTGCGCAACTTCGGTGATCGTACGAGAACCTGTGTTTCAACGTGATATGGCCGTAAACCGTCTTCTGTTTCAATTAATTGATCTGAGGGTTTCGTTTTTATGGCTTATCACCCCTTTGAAGCTTATTTAAAGCCACAAAATTCTTTTTCTTTTAGTTTTTAAGAATCTTTTTAGGTGGGAGAGATAACATTTTAGTGATACAAGTCTTACTAATTAACCCATAGCTTGAGGAGAAGCGGTAGTTTCTTATCTTCCTCAAGTGTATTTGCGATTAAGAAAATATAACGAACCCAACTAGAATTGGACCTCAGCTTTCCAATTAATAATTCCAAACCATTATTCATCATACCACCTGAATATCCAAGCTTATAGCACTTGGTATTCTCTTGCGGTCACCAATCTAGATACTGACCACGCTCGACGTTGCTTAATTTCTCTGATCGAACGAGAACCGATGTTTAAACTATGGCTGTAAGTCTTCTGTGTGTTAAAATATTAAAATTGTCCAGGACGGCTAAGTATTAAAAATCATCTTACTTTCAAGCCAGTCTTTAAAAAAGTCATTGACAGTTAGCTGTGTGACCCTTAAGAAGGTTATTGTTCAGGAACTGATTATTTTAGGTTCTGTCGTTTAGGAGTTTACACGTCTCAGTTTCCAACTGCGTTGGTTTCCGGCGACAAGGGGTTTTTTTTTCTTGGTAAAACTGGGTGAGTTATTTTATTTATTTTTAAATGATATAATTACGTATTTTCTCAGAAAAGTCAATTCCATTTTAAGAAGTGACGAAATACCATTTAGTGACCATAACACACCTATTTCCTTTTAAACAATTCAAAGTAAGACGTGCCTTTACGTACAGATATCGAGTTTCGAGAGATTTAACAAGAACATTTATGAATGAGCGTCATAAGTACTTGACAGTCATTTGGCTGAAACTCTTTTCATATCGAATACAAAGGACCATAGACTGGAAGGCGTTCTAGTTCTATTACATTCGTCTCTGTGAAGAGGTTGAAAGACAAGATTATGTATGGTTCATCCGCACAGCACCTGATATTCCTTTGCAGTCACCCATCTAGTTACTGACCACGCTCGACGTTACTTAACTTCGATGACCGTGAGAAAACCAGTGTTTCAAAGTCAAATGACCGGAAGCAGTCCTCCGTTTGAAGAAAGTATGTTTGAGGAGGAGTTTGATAAAAACAGATCATATTTTGATTTTGGACACAAGAATGAAAAAAAGAAAAGGCATCGTCTTTTCCAAAACAGCCCTATTATTGTTGCGTCATAATGAATCATTTAAACATATAAGATCTTACGATATCTATAAAAAAAAAAAACATCTTATAACCAGAACTAAGTTTCAAGATACGTTTGACAAAGTGTCAAACTAAATATATGCATATTACAATAGAGAAAGTCAACGTTTAACTTTTTTCTACACCTTTGTGTAAATTAATTGAAACGACCGCTTTATTTTCCTTTTTTACACCATAAGGTCAGTGTTAAACCCACTGGAATGACGGTAAAATCGATTTCTACTTTTTCGTCAGATTTAGGTTATATGCAGTGGTGTGCAGTGATATGAATCTATTTGCAGTGGTGTGCAGTAATAGAATTCTATTTTCGAGTTGTATGATGAAATTTGATTGACCTTCAAAAATATTGTGTCTTCCAAGCTTTTATCATGCCCAGACACTATTTTCTCGACCATCGATTAGTTGTCCTACGGCCATTGTCTGCAATGGACACTGCTCCAAGGAAGCGTACAAAATTGCAACGCTGCACGAACACACTGGCAAGCTTTGCCAGTGAGTAAATCAAAATAATATAGACTGACCCGGAAACTCTCCTGATTTAAATCCAATTGAGAATATGTGGTCAATCTGCAAGGAAAAATTTTGTGGAATGGACATACGAAGTAATAACATGTGCACTGGGTCATGTTTAATTCGAAAACAATGAACAAAAGTAAATAATAACGGAATTATTCGTTTTAATTAATTTGCACAAGGGTTATACTGTACTACTACTGTACTGATGCGGCATTCACCCTTGGCGGATTGAGCCGGCTTCTTCCTGATATGAGAAGAAGATTCTTGGGATAAATTACAGAAGTAGGGTACCCAGGCCTACTCGGATAACGTTCTTGCTTGCCGCGGGGTTCCCACAGACGCAGAGACAGGAACGACCAGAAGCCGCCGGTTACCGATGCAGACGCTCCTTGGATTTTCACCAGAGCCCTTGTTAGCCGGCGTGTGTCAGACCTGTCCGCCTTTGGGTGGCCCTACCAGGAACGAAGTTCCGGGCGGCATAGCTCTGACACTACCGTTTACACTCCCCACCGTGTGAGGTAAGGGTTGGACTTTGGGGGCTTACAGTACCAGGTGTTCCCAAGCGGTCCCCCATCTAAGTACTGACCTGGCTCTACGCTGCTTAACTTCGGTGATCGTACGAGAACCGGTGTTTCAGCGTGATTTGACCGTAAGCACAAGGGTTATACACTAAGATATGCCTCATTTGAGACATATTAATGTATTTGTGCTATTTGCTCTTACGGACCGCAGCTTATTTTCTGCGAGCAATGTGGTCTTGACATTTTTTTTCTATTTGTGCAGACTTTTCTAGGTCAGTGTTTTTCAACCTGGGCGATATCACCCACCGGTGGCAGATTTCAACTGTTGGGTGGGCAATGAATAACTGAATAGAAAATGGTTGGAGATATAGGATTTTGCGTATTAAAAATAAAAGTATTTCAAAATATGCTAGCCGAAAAATATATTCAAATGAGATATAAAAATAAGCTGTATATATATATAAAAAAATAAACAGGAGACTAAGTGGGAATCAATGAATCACATTTCTGGGTATAAATATACCAGAAAACAACCAATATTTTCGCATGTTCTATAGTTTTGTGAAGGGTCAATAACATTCAAATATTATTTCAAACGAAATAAGTTCTTTTTCGGATATAAACCAGATCAGAGAAGACCAAGAACAAAATATTCGCTGAATTTTCATTAGTTGCTAGGAGCTTATATTCTTTTTTAATTTTATATTTATGAACAAAAATAGTTTCATTTTTTGTCAACACTTGTAACGCTAACCCTAAAACTATATATATATTCCAGCAAAATTACTTCGACAGAGGAATAGTCTATTTCAAGCTGGTCTTTCATCAGCTTGAAATAGACTATTCCCACGTTGATATATATATATATATATATATATATATAGCTGTAAAAAATGCATATGTCTGTTATAATAGATACATTGTGCATCAGTTTTAATAATTAATATTACTATGATCCACCCGGATTATATACCAACGGATCTATTACCTGCACTGTACTATATATATATATATATATATATATATATATATAGTCACCCACAGACCGATTCGCTGCATCACCCTTCATCAGTGTGGCTAGACATGCGATTGCTTGGAACCGGGAACGAAACCTGACCGATTTGACATCAACGCAAATCCTACGTACTATAGATGACGGTATGTGTTTAATTACAGATGGAGAGTGTTTAGAATTGGGGTGAATATATATTTTTCAACGGTCAAGTTTATTTTCATTTGTTTATTAATCCAGTTATAGTAGCCGCAACGCCCGTCGTGTAATCAGAGTTCTTTGTTACCTCCCTTTGATACTCTTTACTACATCATAACGTCAGTTTATGAACTAGTAACAAACTTTTACCAAACAATTTTATCTGCTTTTGAATATTTACTATACAAGTGGACAGTGGAATACTTTTCCTTGTAAACTCGGGCAATGACGAATATATATATATATATATTTGGAACCCCTGTTCTAGATCAATGTTACTTCCTATTTAGATTTTTCTAACCCTTCTATCCTTAATAGACTCTAGAAAAAGAGATAAATCTTTCTCGTTCCGCTATCAATGTCTAACGACAACTGAGCAGTACTTAAAAACAAAAGAACAAATCTAGATATCCGCAGATGCGGGCAACGGAAGGAGAACAATGTACTGCCTTAGATTAAATAAAGGGTTTAGTTCGAAATGCCCGGATCTCGATCGAGAGACACCTGAAGAAAGTCGGGTGGTGGTGAGGGATGAAATATTCTGTTAAAAATAAAGATGAGGATAATTGTCCTAATGTGAGTAATAATTTCTGATATCCACAATTAATAGTGTGTATTTCCCAAGCAAATTGAAAATTTCGTGACATTATCAAATTGTCGTTGCATTTCAAGTCATACCGTCAATATAAATGCAATAGTTTGAAGACCAAATATGCAGAATACGTATGAACATTTGACTGAACATTAAATTAAAAGCCTCGTCGTGCAATCTTATGCAAAGCCAAAACTAAGTAGAGGTAATGAAAATTACGTTAAGTCACAAGGAAGGCAGCAGTAATAAGACTGACAGTAAGGTCTCGATATGTCAACTCTTTCCATGACTATAGTTCTCTCAGCATGGCTACCTTGAAGCAGCATCTGATCCTTCATCTAGAAAATTTTGAAAAACGTCGTTAACATTCTAAATTTTGTTCAAGTGACTGAACTCCTTCGTCAGGTACTTTTCGTTTACAACGTTTCGGGTTATCCGTTGCCCGGCCTTCGTCAAGTGTACAATCTATGGGAAAAGAATTTTTTTTTCATCTCCAAGAAATAATGATAGCAACAGAGAAAATATTTATGGCACGGAAAACAACAAAAAACAAAAACGAAATCTTATCCCAGCATGTATCGATGATGGGACTAAAGAAAAGAAAAATCGTTTTTACAGCATCGAGGACAAGGACACAATTCTTATGAGCGTGATGACGTGTCTTGGGTTCGACTTTCCCCAGATACGTTGCTAACCGGTTATTAGTGCAATATACTGCGTTATGATCATCTCTCATTCATAGAGGCAATGAAACGCAACAAGGATAGTTTATATCAACAGGATAATATATCAGGCCATCGACCCAATTTCCAACAAAAGGTGTGGCCATCACGTTACCCAGTCGACGATTTTTTTAATGACGTGCTGAAATAGTCGATTTACACCAACGATACTGCGTCTGTTAAGACTACATTTGTTTAAACTCTCTCCAGAAATTTTTCAACTGGAATTGGAACTCTGCTCTCAGATTAACAATTCAGAACCATCGTCCATTCATCATCATCCTCATCTTGCGGCCTCAGCTGAGATTGAACTCACCAATACTTTGATTGGTGTAGTTCATAATCTTGTCAAATAGCTGAATTCTTCGCTAGGGCTATCAAGGGTGTTTTTATCGTGACACCAACACTAAATGGATTGCCAACCAAGGCTCAGAGAGACTCCATTCACCCTCCTCTAAGAGCAGGTTTGAATTCAGAGTTTTCCTTCTCCTAGACCAGTTGCCATCCAGGGCTATAGAACCCGGTCTGTCCTGTTATTTGCCCATAGCTGGAGGGAGAAGAAAGAGGGTGTTAGCACGTAAGTGAATGTAATGGACTCGACTGGAATTCGAACTCGGCTCTCCGATTCCTCAATCCGAGCCGCTATCCATTACTCAACCGTGCCTCCTACACTTCACCGTGCCTTCGTCCATTACTTAATCGCACCTAAAGCACCTGACATTAGCATGTAGTAGCATCACATGGAAAACTCATAAAATTTGACAACTTGCTATTTCTATGTACAAAACAACTATCGTGTTATTATTAAATGAACTATTATGTAATGAAAAAAAATATTTCAAAGAATTCTGACATCGTAGAAGAATGAAAACAAATATAAACAACTTTGTCTATACACTGTTCCCTCCTTCCCTTAATGACACTTTCCTTCTTACCATTTCAGAAGTTCCTTTGCTTAATGTCACATGATCCTAACAGAGGAATTTCCTTTTGTATTTAGAACTATACGAGTAATGATGCGCTTAGCCTGTTGCTCGTGACTTTAAAATATCCGTAAGTAATTCCCATTAGTCAAGAATGAAGGCATTCGTTTCAGACCATATTTCGGGTAACTAGTTTGCAACTATGCCACTGAAGAAAAAGATTGATGTACTATTATGACACTCATAAAGAAGAGGATGGTAAATTATTCTTTCTCTGTCAATGTTTTGTGATTATGACCAGCGGTGTAGTCTGAGAAGTGAGACCTTTAAGACCGTAAGCAACTTCAAAAGAGAATAAAATACATAAAGAAATGAAAACGTTGGGAATCAAGTGACACTTGACTAAACGTTCAAGACTTCCGCTTTCCGGTTTATATAAAGGTATTTCTGGACCGCCCGTTGGCATAGACAGACTTTTCCTTGAAGTATTTCCAATTTTGCACGTTAGCGTTCCCAAACCACGCGTCGTGGTGTAGAGATGGACAGAGGAGAGATAGGAGAGCGTGAGTACTCGCTGGTTGAAGGGAAAACCTTATCTGTTAAACTAAGCAATGTCGTGTCTACACAGTGAATCCCTAAATAAAGAGCCAAATATGCAGGAAACAGAGTTCAAGTTTTTATTTTTCCAACTTTTGCTTCTTTGTGAACGAACAATGCATCTTTGCCTGGATTTTTTTTTTTGTACACCGACACAAACGTGGATAGAGACACAATCTGGTATTGTGTTTTCAGTTGGTGAGAAGATATAAGCATTCAATGAAAACATATTTTGAGAAATGTAGAAGACTTTCAAAAATTAATGTTACATACTCTATGTCAAAACGTGGCTTGTACGGAGACACTTATGTGAAGTAACGGATATTTTTCATCGAATGAATTGATATATCATGAAGTTCCACTCAAGTTAAATGTATTTATTTAAATATTATTTATAAATAAAAAGGAATGACCTTAATTTTTAAAGACGGCAGAATAAGGTACATTTGGATTTCACGATTAATGAATTATTTGATGTTGGACGGCTTCGCTTGTCACTTTTGCTATGGCAAGCGAAAAATTTATCTCTTCCAAAAATGCTCGCTATATTTGAGACTTCGTAGACGCCAGTACTAGTACACTAGTAGCAACGCCTTCCAATAGTATCCGCACTAGTAATACTTGTTCTAGTAGTAATCGCCAAGTAGTATAATGATCAGAAGAAAATCGTAATCCGTATAGTAGTAGAGAGAGTGAATGTATAGCAATATTGAATAGGCAAAAAGAGTAAACAGTGATCTGTATAGTGACAGAAAAGAAATAAGTTATCACGCTACTTCGTATTTATTCACTTGCTTTATAATAACGTGATCTACTTAATAATGGAATCGCATGTGTTGCTCACTGGCGATTTTAAACCACGGTGTCGGCATCGATACTAAATCTTATACAGCAATGAAATATTTGTTTAAAAAACTAATTTCCAAGTTAGTCGTTTTTAGCACTTTGAGTCCTGAGTCTCTAAACAAATTTATCCCTTCTGTCGTTTTTACCCACCGTTCAGCCGGCGGCTGGGCATTACGTCATTTTTCTCTACGACCAATAAAGGGCTCAAAGAGTACTACCACTTTTGAAATGTTACAGAGATCAAAACCAAAACGAGTTAAAATTGATTTAGCATGATATATACGCAAGAACCTTTCGTTATAACGATTTTAATCCTTCCTTTGGTATGTTTCACATTGTTCTTTGTATTATGCTAATGAATAATTTCTGTTTAAGTAGAAAATTTTACATGTAATGATTTATTTGTTCTATCAAGTTGGTAGCTATATAAAAGCGATATTCCTTTTTATATTATACTACTTCGCAATGGAAAACACCTTCCATGTTTCAGACGCACACAAAAATAAAGATTTTGAAGAATTTAGTTTTGAATGTTTCTGGTTTCACATTTCTCGCCATTACCACTTTTTTTCTGTTGACCTGCCAAATCCATTTTAGGCCTTCATTGAATCCTTAGACATTTTCAGCTTTTTACCGACTTTGAACTAACATCAGTCTGCGTCTCTATAGAGGGGATTCTGCAGCAAAAATAGTATCTACTATTAAAAAAAAAAAAAAATTACCTCAGACCCCTTGAATACCAAAATCTCATATACAGACCTGGCATCAACCATCAATAAATATATTAAGCAGTGGCATAATATATGGAACTCTGCCCAAACAATAAAATGGGGAAAATTAAACCTAAGCGGAATGACATCAGAATCCCCGAACTAGAAAAGAAGTGATTATATCCAGGTTCCATATTAGATATACTAACATAACCCATTCGTATCTCCAAGAACAAAGGAACAAGCTCCGATATGTGTGGACTGCTAACAGACATTTACCATAAGACAGACTGACAAAATGCAGCAATTTTAATTGAATACGCTTAAAATACTACAACAAACTTTTTTCAACATAATGAGCCACTTTACATATTCCAGTTTCTAAGAGCAATTAAACTGATCCCAAAAATATAGTTTAGAAAATACAACCTTAACTAAGAGCCGTATTACTATTTAAAAATGACTTTAAATACAAGGCTTTGTTTCGGAAAAGTATTAAAAATAAGCCAAAAGGAGTTGATATACCGATAAAGAAAAAAAGCTTCGCGAAAACTTATATATATATATATATATATATATATATATATATTAGTAGATAGAGAAAAAGAAAAGCTGACTTACTTTTTGTATTGGCCATAATAACCCGGACTCTGAATAAGTTGCCAAACATCTGTACTGGCGGTCAAGTTCTTCGTCTCTAAACATTCGTTTTCGTCATCTGAAAAGTAACAAAAGAAATGTGGTAATCTTCTTGGAGGAAATGTCAACATATTTCGGAAAAAAAAAAAAAAAGAAGTAAATTCTATCATTTCACGTACTATTTTGATTGCTGCGTTAATCTCTACTTGTTAGAAGACCTCGATAGGAAATACAATAATTGGAAAAAATAAATTATTTTTACGGTTTATCAACCGTTTCTGATTTATTTGAAGTAGAAATATATTTCGGATTGTAGGAGGTCGCTTACAGACATGGTGTTTCCAAGCAAAAACTCATTTAAATACTGACCGAGCTCGAAATTGCTTAACTTTTGTGATCGAAAAAAGATGTGTAAATAAAAATAACTTTACTCATCGCATTTATTAAACTTCTAGAACATTACTCCGATTTTCTTACAGTTTAATCAAACCTTTGTGGGACATTTAAAGTCGAAACATGTTTTTAGATTCTAAGAATAATTATTTTTTGCTAAGGAATATTACAAATTTTTTGTGGGCAGAAAGATTTTCTCCAGGCACAAGTTCTACCATTTAACCCATAGCTGGGGGGAAGAGATCGATTCCTACCATTTTAAAAGAAAATTTGCTATTAAATCAATGTAACAAGCTACCAGAATTCGATCTCAGCTCGATCAACCACAATGGGTTTTTTAATATCGGCAAGGTTTATTTTTATAGGATAGGTTCGTGCGAATAGAATATGTATTCTTTAGAACAAATAAGTTTGTAGATCAGATTGTATTTTTATAAAGAGTGTTTTTGTGTCAAATATATTGCTGGTAATATTTTTCTCGAAAATATAGTGCTGGTATTTTTACTATAAAAATCTACTTTTATACTTTCATAGTGTTTTTATCCCAGTTTGGGAGTTAATCATTTGCCAATAGCTGGGACCCTAACAGGTTCTGCCATCCCGGATCAGGGTGGACCTGGAAAGAAAAGCAATTAAGAGGTGGTCCCCACGCTCCCCAAATCCCGATCAGAGGCTACCGGATGTAGTTTATCGTCCTAGCCCGGACGATCAGCTATTTCATTCCGAGCGTATATTGCACCACTCGCACATCCGAGAACATGACTGGAGACAATATCTCTGAAAAAAAAAAAACGTTATGATCAGTACGCCTCATTGCAAGTTTTTAAAAATAGTTATCCATTTTGTAGAGTATGGAAATAAAGAGAAAGAAGTGCTAAATGCACAAATCTCTAATATTACATTTGTCACCCGAAATTCAAACGATTCCTTTGATTTTGTTTAACAGCATATCAAGATGTAAGGGTTATTTAATGCCGAAATCTAAATATTTTCTACGCATTTTATTTATTATTTATTGAAATAATGGTTTATTGATATCGCTGTAAGAAGTAGTCATATCTTCTACAATATGACCGCCAAAAACGCTGCTCCTTCTTGAAAATATAACTTATTCCAACATATCTAAGTAACAATAATTACAGACTAGAAAAGTACTTCATTTGATGATATTAAAACGCCAGCAATTAATCGCTAACATAGGCGGAAAAAAGATTTAGCAGTTGTGCTCGATGTTGGTTGGTGGTTTTTGTTTAGCGGCATACCAACACCTCTATGGGTTATTTATTTTGTACCCAATTTGTTTTGTCTTGGAGATAACAATGGTTTCATGATACAAGTCTTGCTAATTAACCCACAGCTGAATGGAGGAGATGAGGATTCATACCTTTCCCAAGGGTATGTGCGCGTAAAAGAATATAATGAACCTGACTGGAATTGAATCTCGGGTCTCAGATGAACAATTCCGAGTCATTGTCCATTACAACAGGCGTCCTGGGTATGAAGATAAACTACGTCCAGCAGCAAGGCCTCTGATCATGAGGCTTTGAGGAGAGTGGAACCTCCTTTTAATTGCTGGTGTCCCCAGGTACACCATGACACGGGGTGGTAGTATCTGTTAGGGTCCCAGCTATAGGCAAATAGTTAACTCCGAAACTGAGGTAAAAAGCATTATAAAAGTGTAAAAAATAGGTTTTAATACCAGCTATACATTTTCGAAAATATATTCTTACCAGCTATACATTTTTGAAAATATATTCTTACCAGCTATACATTTTTGAGGAAAAAATATTAACAGAAATAGATTTTTGACAAAACAACAATATTACCAGGAAAAAAAAAAGTTGTCAGCATTAAATGACCCATTGAGGTTGATATGCCGCAAAACAAAACAAACCATTACAAGAGCCGAACATCCAAGCTCACTACACCTGATATTCACAAGCGGACAGTTAGCCATTTAGGTACTGACCAGGTTTGAGGTTGCTTAACTTCGGTGAACGTGCGTGGACCGATGTTACAAAGTGATGTGGCCCTAAGCCAAGAAGTTCAAACGATTATATCAGTTCCAGATTCTCGTGCATGTCATCGCCTTCAGCTTAAAAACCATTTTTATCCATGGATAATACTTCCACAGAGCGCATATATAGGAAAAAAGATTCTTTATCAATTTACAAATTTCATATAAAATAAGGAAATAGTAAATGATGCGGACGGCGTGCTCCCCCGCCCTTTTTTTTAAGCCTGGCTAAATATAAAAGAAAGACAGAATCATTATATATATATATATATATGCCTGCATAATCAATAACATTGGAGAAGGTGGCCACAGAGAGTCAGGCAGGTGCATTAGAACAAATTTAAAACTTTAGAAGTTTATTTCCTTCATATTCAGTGAGGAAACTGTACATATATATTAAGTATCTGCATGTGTGGTGTATTTGGGTAATCATTTCATTTATGTATATTTGATTAAAAAACAACGAATGTTCTTTGTTGGTTTTGCTTTCATTTACTTTTCAGTATTTCTAATATCTGGCTTCCAGATCGTATTTGTACATTCAAATTCTACTGTCTAAACCATTTTTAATAACACTAGCCACTTTCAACACTTTTTGTAGTTTACCGATCCAGTTTGATTTTTGTAAATATAGTGAAGTTAAACACTTATTTTCTTAACTATAGAAAAAAAAGAAAAAGAAAAAACGCCACTAGGGGACCCTTTCTGAGCCAATAAATACACTAACATTTTTTATCATCCTATGCTCCCTAGACACGCTAGGATGTCGGTTTATTGGGAAACGCACACACACGTACGTCCGCAACATCATTTTACTTCATTTTGTCTAGGACTTCTGCACACATTTTACATACACGAACTATTCGCTACTCTTTAAATGATTTCATGTACGCTCATTGTTTTGTCACATACATATAATATACGTATTTCTTTATTTTATATGCGCAGTACTTAATGGAAAATGCTCAGTATCCGTGATAGATCTTTAGAAAATTTTATCTTTTAGTAAGTTGCAGGAGTAATAGTTTCGCGCGTTTGCGATCACCAGACAAACTGGTTTATTTTCTTTTTTTTTTTAAGTGGATCTGTTTATATTTGTGTTTGCTGCAGGGGAAGGAATTTACTTCTGTGTTTGTTTGGCATGACACACTCTCATACCTAGTGGCACATACATACAGGGGTATGCATTTTAGTTCGTACAAACACACCCAGATACACAATCTGAGGTTAGACGCAGTTACACATCCATGCTTTCGAGCACAACAATAATGACACTCAAACAGAATCACAATTGCGTATATGTGTGTGCTCAAAAGCATGGATATATACACCTAGTGAGCTAGACAAACCTACCCAGGTTTCACCTAAGCGGTTCGTCAAGGAAAACAGCATATCAAGATGTAAGGGTTATTTAATGCCGAAATCTAAATATTTTCGAGATTGATTTGATTATTGGTAAAATCAAAAATTCGAAGGTTTTTCGAAACGAGTATAGTTATATATATATATATATATATATAGGTTTTAGTTTGTTCTTTATATTTTATTATCCGAAATCACGTGCTAGTCCGTCATTTTTGTAGTGGGATAAACATTCCAGGAGACATTTTTTTTTCAAAATCAAACGCCAATGTACAGACTCCCGCAACAATATTCCATTTCATATGTTTGGCTTTTATCACGTGTTGAGTATTCAAGCTAGTGTTTGGGTAGGATTTAATAAAATTTATTTAAAAAAAATATTCAGATATTTAAATTTGTCCTTGGTTTCTTTGTGTTATAAGGAAATACATCTACTTTGACATGTTTTTGCCAACGAACCACCATCAACGGTAAAGGAAGTGGGTAAATCGGTGACAAAATGGAAAACTTAGTGACGCGTTTCGTTCCGTGAAGGAAAATGTTCAACGAATTTATTCATGGTATAAGGTTTATATCTAATTTTAAAAAAAAGGACAACTAATGTTAGTTACAGTTCTATTTCTACCTCCCCTATCGGGGCCAGTCTTATACACCCACCACCTAATGCCTATCAAGAAGAGTCAAATTGTATCTCCCTGACCATACCTCAATTAAGACTCATCTAAACACACACGAAAATCTACCAAACTCCGTCCGCAAAATACTCGTAGAAACTACGTATATTATACCATTTTTTAAAATTCTAAATATGATGAGCATGTTGTGGCATTCTTCGTAGTTGATATTTTTGAGTTGACTAAATATATATATATATATATATATATATATATATATATATATATATATATATATATATATATATATATATAAAGGGAGAATTTGTTTGAAATCATTGAAGTCAAAATCAAATTACTAGACAGATGGCACTTAATACAAACGAGAAAAGACGTTCTATATATGTAGGGCTTTAAAAGGTTGTCAAAACCTTTGTATGGGTTGAGAGTAGCAAAGATCACGTGCAGTTCTTTATCCGAAATAAAGTCGTCTTCAATGAAACTTGTATATTGTACATACGTACATACACACGAACGTCCTCAACTTGAATGAAGTTTTAAAATGACTTGACCGAAAAGGTTACTGGATAATTATAAATCAATTTAGATTTCGGATACCTATGGAGAAATTACTGCTGGATGAAGTCCCAGAATCTTTACGCTTTTATCTCCAGCATAATTTCTTTCCGCTCT